CTTGTTAGCAGGGATGATTGTTTGAGCCAGTCTCATCAAAGGGACAGAGGGAGGCTTTTGGGAGGCTCTGGGAAAGATCTTCCTCCTCAATAAGAGAGAAGAGTTTGATGGGATTGTGCTGTCCTGTTCTGCATTTATATTATTATGAGAGCTGTGATACTTGGAGCTTCTGTAACCTGTGGATCTGGAAGAGAGGGCCTCAGAAGGGTGGCAGGTAAAAAATGAGGTACTGAGTACTGAATCAACACTGGGGCCAGACTTTGTATGTGAGAAATTTAAACCCAGATTATTTAAATCTAGACTTTTAGGTTGCTGTTCTGTTATTTATAGCCACAAGCATTCTGTGTCACTTGCTTTCCCTTGTTTCACCAAATTGTGAAGAAAAATACTCATTGACTGGTTGACTCATGGAATGAATTTTATTAAATGCTTATCATGAATCAAGATTTTTATGAAAACTATCAAGTGAAGTATAATAGACAGAGCTTATTAGATACATTCTAGTTCTGTTGCCTAGAAGATGTACACACATCTTTGCTTATATTTGGACACATAACAGATCATTTCATTTTAGAATTTGTACTGGTAATTGAAAAATAAGTTTTTGTAATTGTTAATTTTTTTAGTTTCATTTGCCAGAGTTGCTTGGCTGAGATGGGTTTTGATCTTTGAGAGTAGGGTTGTAGCAAGAAGATTCATGAAAAGAAAGGTTATATTCAGTTAATTTAGTAACTTATGTGCCAGATGGTATACTAGGATTCTTTCTAGGATCACACTGAGAATTAAATAATTTAGGGAGATGGTGTTGAGATCTTAGTAACTGAATTGAAGCTTTTGCTTTGAATATGTTAGCTTTTGAACACAGTATAAGCCCTGAGCTACATGGAAATTAACATTTTCCTTGATGGGAGAAATAACTCTAGGCTTTAAGGTTATCCATTCAATCATTGCTGAAGTTAATACCATTGGCTACCTAAATTGACTATCCTGTTGATATGTGTCATTGTTAACATCCCAGTGAGATACACATTCCTCCAGGCTGCAAGGCATCCCAAGAATGAGCTAGGAGGCCTATAGGACTTTTATTGTCCTCAGTTCTGCTGAAAATTAAGGAATTCTTTTCCTTGAATTAGTAGTTACATTCTGAAATTTTCTAAAAGATATGCTTTTGTAACAGGGTAATTTTAGGAGAAAGCAGTAAAATAATTTGGTATGAACTTTAGAGTTTTTATACCTGCTTTGTATTTAATGGAAATGCACAAATAAAATGAGTCTTATCAGTTCTGGAGTCAGAATTCTATTTTGGGTTCTGTTGGGCTAAATGGAACCAGGCATTGGCAAGCCTGGTTCCTTTCTGTAGGCCCTGGTAGGGTCTGTTTTCTTGCCTCTTCTAGCTTCCATAGCCCTTGGGATCCTTGGTTTTTTAGCCCCTTCCACCATTTTCAAAGACAACAAGAGTTGGTTGAGTCCTTGTCACACATTCTGTCACTCAAATATTGAGTCTTCTTGGGTCTCTCTCTTCCACTTTAAAAAAGAAAATATATTTATTTATTTATGGTGGTACTGGGAATTGAACCCAGGGTCTTACCTATACTAGTCAAGCACTCTACCACTCAGCTACATACCTGGCCCTTTTTAAAATTTTTTACTTTTGAGAGAGGATCTCACTAAGTTGCCCAGGCTGGCCTCAAACTTGTGATCCTCTTGCCTCAGCTCCTGAGTATCTATGTTTACTGGTATGTACCACCATACACTGGCTCTCTTCCACTTTTAAGTACCCTTGTGATTACTTTGAGTCACTAGAATAATCTAGGATAATCTCCCTATCCTAAATTCAGTTGATTGACAACCTCAATTCCTTTTTGCCATGTAATCTAATATTCACAGTTCAAGGAATTAGGGTATGGACATCTTGAGGAGGCATAGTTATTTCTGCCTAACACATGATAGTTGCTACAGGGATGTCTCTAATCATAGGTCCTTTTGGTGTTGATAATCTTTCTTTGTGGAGTGTAGTGAAATTTGCAGTGTTTTCATCCATTTTTCTCCATTTTGTGGTTTTTAAAATTTGAAATTATGTTTAGAATTAAGTTTGCTTTGAATAGTATTTAATTGCTTTATCATATTTTGATTTCTATCTTGTATTTTCAGCACAGGCACATTTGAGACCTAATAATACAGGTATACTACAATAGGATTATTATAGGACAAGGTCATAAAGTTAATTGTTCACTTTTACTCAATGTTTTTAAGAGCCAGACCTTTATGGAAATTATTCATTTTAGAAGAAGTATATAGAGAGCCTTACCTAATTTGTAATGTGAGTTAAGGGACAATACAGCTTCTCTAACTTTGTCTAAATAGCATATGATAACCTGATAGAAATTGCAGATTTGAGAACTTTACTCATTAATTAATTTCTGGGTTTGTTTGTATAACTGCTTTTGGTTACATATAAGTACACACTCAGTAAATGAAGTGTTTTCTCATGATCTTTGTGATATAATATTTTCACATAAAATTTGCATCTGTTCATAGTACTTTTAATTCTCATTTAATACAGGCAGTATTTCCTTGATCATACCCCTATCCATTCAGAATTGAAAATACTTTTGAAGGGAATAACTATCTCTTCCACAGGACTTTTTGCCTCCTGTGTCATATTCATAATCCCACAATAGATAATAGCCCATACCATACATTATGAATATGTAAACAGTGGTGATAAATTAGCACCTATCTTTGAGATTTAGTATTTAGAGCACTAGGAGAGTAGTGATGTTTTTGTGATTCCCTTAACTGTTTTAGGGAGGAAAAAAAAGGTGAATAGACTTACTTTTTATTGAGAAAGAATGAATAAGTAATACACATTCAAGTAAATAGATCTTTGTAGCCAACTTTAAAGTCTGGTAAAAGGGAATAAGTCAAATAAATTTTGGTTCTAAAATTATGGACTAGGTTTGGACAATGGAAAATGCTCAGGGGTTACTCACATCTGCTGTGGGAATGCAGTGCTGATACTATAAATGGGATTTCAGAAAGATGGTGGCCATAGAGCTATGCCAGTATCCACAGATTCTCTTTATAAATTTGCCAGGTGCCCAACCCTTGCCTGGAGAAATTCAGCATAAAGACAGTATGTCCTACAGTGGGAAAAGTATTAAAAAGACAAATTATATAGCCGAATTCTAAATTTTATAACTTGCATTGTCATTAATTAGCTCATACAAGTATGAAATAAACATCATAAATTTTGAGGATCTCAACAGGTTAAAAAATATGAGTATCTGTTGCTTTAAACATGGATAAAATATGCACTCGTGACAGTGAAAGGGGAGGGAAAAAACTTACAAGATGTTCCTGTGACTTTTATGGAAAAAAAAGGAGAGAAAAACATTTAAGCTAAAGGAAGTAAAAAAAGATTCAAAAACATCAGTGATATGTAAATGAACATAAGAAAGCACAGGCTCCATGGGGAAGAATCTCAGCTCTTCAGAGGAGAGATTCAAGAGGTTGAATTTAGCCATTTTATATCTATTCTGGAATTCCAGGACCATACAGAATATGAGAAAAGTGTTACAGCAAAACCTCAGGGATACTGCTACCATTCTCTTTCCCTAAGGGGGACTTTTTCTTACATGAAAGGGAGAACTGCATTCCACCTGTCAGCTCAGCATAGGACATCCTTCATAAATATGAAAACAGAACCAAATTGGTAGACATTTGAGATGAATAAAAGGTTTTAAAGAGAATGAGTTTTGTACTAAAAAAAAAATGAAAAAGTCTAATCTCTGAGTAATAAAAGATTTTCTAAAAATAATTTAAATTGTGTGTAATTAATATCCTTAGAGGAATCTAGGTATATATTGCACAGAGACTGTTTAGTATATAGTCTATAATTATTTAAAACTTTAGCTGTGGGGCCAGACAGCCTGTGTTTGAAACCTGGTTTTACCACTAACTAGTTGTTTGGGTCTCATTGTGCCTCAGTTTCCTCACCCAAAATAGGGATAATAATTTACCTAATTTACAAACTAATTTTGAAAATTAATACATAGAATAGCACCAGGCACACAGTAAACATTACTTTTATTATAATCACGCAAACTCAGAAAAATTGGCTAATATGAAAAAGAAATAATTGTAATCTTGAGAATAAGAAATATGATTGTTGAAATGAACTCAATTCCCTGTGGTCCTAGGTGAAATTTCTGACAGAAAGAACATTGGATTGACCTAGGTAATTATTGTGTGTGGCCCAAGTTTTCCATGTGGGCTATTATCCAGACTATAGATAGGTCACCTTGAGCCTGGCATCTCCCATAGTAGTTCCAGTCTCCATGGCAAGGGAGAGCTAGGTGGTCATCTGAAATAAGGCTGATCTAGGGCTGCCTTTTCATCAGCAAGGCTCATTTGCCCTGGAGAAAGGCAGTGTGACCACAGTATATGCTCCAGCCAACATGTTACTAGTCATTGCACAATTCCCCTTTTCTTTTAAATAAAGTGACTACCATTGAAAATAGCAATTGCATTTAGAGATTGAGTAATACAAGAAAGTAAATATTCAAGAGAATACAATAAATGACCTGACAACAGTTCTTTTTTTTACTGCTTTGTAAACCTTATAACACATTCTTTTATCTTTTGTAGATAGCTTGGTTAAAATGTCTGTTTTGTTAGGATTCTTAAAACCTTGGATGAGTTAGTGATAAATATCAGGGAAATTTATTGCCTTGATATTTTAATAGCTAGTTTGGGCTTGAAAAGAGATTTTTGAGAATTTTGCAAATTCCAAGATAACCTTTAAACCCTCTTAAAAATATATTCTGGTTTATCTTTTATTATGTAACCCAAAATTAGTGCTGAATTTATGGCATATCAGGGTTGGTTATTATGATAGTAAATAATTTATACTAAAATTAAAAACTTGAAAAGTTATACATAATAATATGTAGATATTGGTAATGAAACTGCGCAAATGTTCGTTAAATTTATTCCAGGTTGGGCCATGCAGGCTGCTGCCTATATCTTTATTCATAGGAAGTGGAAGGATGATAAGAACCATTTTGAAGACATGATTGATTATTTTTGTGATATCCATGAACCACTTCAGCTCCTCATATTCCCAGAAGGGACTGATCTCACAGGTAAGACAGCCTGGGTTTATATCACAGAATTTTAAAGCATCTAGTTAAAACTTCTTATTCCTTGGATGAAGTAACTGAATACCAACAAGATTACTAGATCACCCCCAAGGTCACTCATGTAATCAATAGGATGTCAGGCCCAAGACACTATTTAATTTATAGGACCCAGGATTCCAGCCCATGGAATTTATTATAGGCAAGCCCAAGTGATTGTTGTTATTCACGACTGCTATCCTAGAACTTTACATTTTAGCCCCAGAATATATTTTAATATTTCAACCCTTTATCTTTATGTAAGCCAGTTTTTAATCATATTTTTGGTGAAGTTTGTCCCGCCTTCTGTTCTATATATTCTCTTGTCTGCTTTCAAGGTATTTATTTATCCTTTAAACTCTTTTTGCTTTCAGTGTCTTCCTTACAGAAAAGAATCTGATAGTAACTAATTTCAATTATTGTTGATTTAAGTTAACTTAATTACCTTTCTTTTGATATTTAAACCTTATTCCTCTTATAGGCAGGAAAGACATTATCTCTTCCTTAAAAACAAAACAAAACAAAACAAAAAACAGCCATCATTGAGGTATAGAGGGAAAACAGGAGGACATGTTTAGAACTTTCTATCATCCCAGATATCAAAAATATTAAAAACAAAATATTGTATACTCTGGCCATGCACAATGGTGCACACCTGTAATCCCAGTGGCTCAGGAGCTGAAACAAGAGAATCACAAGTTCAGATCCTACCTCAGCAACTTAGTGAGACCCTAAGCAAATTATCAAGGCCCTAAGCAATTTAGCAAGACCCTGTCTCAAAATTAAATAAATAGGCTGGAGATATAGCTCAGTGGTAAAGCACCCCTGGGTTCAATCACCAGTACAAAAAAAACAAAACAAAACTTTACAGTCTATCATAGTTACTAACTTAGTGTTTTCTACCACACTTATTTAAACCCCAGGTCATTTTTACAGATCAAACCTTCTTTTGCAGTCCAGAATGTAAGATGGATAAAAGTGAAACTATCCTGGTTGAATACTGGGAGGAATGATGCAAACAGGGCATAGCTTCCATAGGAAGCAATTCTAGAGAATCCTTGGACTTGAAAGAGCAGAATTTAACTTTAATACCTTAAAGGTATCTTTCAGGAAAGATACAGCAGCACATTTAAAGGATCCAGTGGATGAATGTGTGCCGCATGAGGAAAAACAGACAAAAGCAGAGTAGATGGAAGTCTAAAAATCACAAATAGTATGGAAAGGAAAAACATGTACTAAACAAAGAAGGGCAACCCTTAGAGCTTAAAAAAGAGAACAAGTCAAGTAAATATTAATTTAAAACATGGACATAATTTATGGAACAAATTACCCAAAAAAAGTTCATAATAAAAAATAAAATTTACAGAAACATTTAAATAAGTGAGGATTGACTGAGCCACAACTGAGGTTGATAAGGGGAACTAAGGTATTTTGGGGAAACAGTTACCAAAGATAGCAACAAAGAGATCTTTGACTTATCTATTACAGATGGAGCTGAGCTAAATGAACCATGGAAATACTTATTACTTGGGCAGTCTCTAAAATACATGCTTATTGTGTAACATCTGTTTGATTTTATGGTTAAAATTTTAAAATCAGGATCAAAGGGGATAATATGAAGGCTAATATTGGCTACCTGTTGTTTAAGCTTGAAAATAGATCCATTGTAGGTTTTAAGTTAATTGATTTCCAGTGCCAAACTACCTTTAGAAATTAAACTGGAAAGATAGCCAATTTAAATTTTATAAGACTCAGAATGTATAAAGCCTAACCTTGGATATTGAAATGTCAGTTTCGTTTGATGGAGTATAGAAAACAATTGACTGAATTGCATCCTGATTTATTTTTGTGAATGACAAAATGTACACTAAAGAATGTCAATTTTGGAACTTTATAATAACAATAAAAATAATATAATAATGATAAATAAACGCTAATGGGAAAAAGTTCATATGTTGCTGCTCCTCTGGTACATTAGTGTTAACATGTTCCGTATATTAGTGTTAACATATTCCATATATTAGACCTTTAGAATCTATAAAATATATTCAAAATGTTTTTCATTTTATATTTTTTCTCAGGTTTCTTTTATAGGTGATGAACTTTACATCTAGTCGAAGGCGTTTGGAGTCCAGTGTGTTTCCTATTTCCTATTTTTAAAAAGTTTTTTATTTTAGTTGTAGATGGACACAGTATCTTTATTTTGTTATTTTTATGTGGTGCTGAGGATTGATTGCTGTGCCTCATGCATGCAAGGCAAGAGCTTTACCACTGAGCCACAACCCCAGCTCCTAAGTTAAAATGGCATTTACATCTTAAGGCCAAATTACAAAAGCCAGACTGTTTGCCCTAATGAAATAAAAAGTGGGGTCTGGTGTTTTGTTTTGTTTTGTTGCAGAATTATATGAGTTAGAAAAAAATGATTTGAAAAGGGCTAAGAAAATATTTTCAATTTGGAAAATTGAAAAAAAGTGTTTTTGGTTACCAGTTAACTTTCAATTTGAATTTTTAATGATAAAGCGAACATTTTATAGTTTTCTTTAAATTTTGAATTCAATTTGCTTGTACATTTCCAAATTAGTGCATTTAAATATGACCTTGCACACATTCTATCTCCATGTATTATTGTTTAACTTTTTTCTAATACTATGTATTAGAAATACATAATATATGTTAGTTTTGGAAAGTTCAGAAACATAGAAGGATTCACAAAAATTCTTATAATTTCACAGCTCATACATAGTAAACACTATTCTAATTTGGTCCATTTCTTTTGGGTCATTTGGTTACAGATACACACATACATAGGTGTCAATGTATATATGTATATACATACATATATAATCTTAAACAAAATTGAAAAACTAAGATCATACTTCGTTCTTTTTTCCTTCATGTTATATTGTAATATTCACATCATTATATATTCTTTGATAAAGGTTGAGTAGTTTTATATTATATTGACATATTGGTATTCTCCAGAGAAATAGAAACAGTATACCAATAGGGAGAAAGAGATTAAGGTTTATTTTAAGGAAGTGGCTTTTGCATTGATGAAGGCTTGGCCCATCCTCAGGTTGGAGCCCCAGGGAAGAGTTTCAGATTGAATCCAAAGGCTGCCTGGAGGCAGAAGTCCTTCTTCCTTGTGGAGAAGGGGAGGGCACACTATCTTTTCCTGTTAAGGCTTTCAGTTAATTTAGATGAGACCTTCCCACATGGTAGAAGATAGTCTGCTTTACTCAGTCTACAGATTTAGATATTAATGTATCTTAAAAAAAATATAATAAGTACTTTCACGGAAACATCTGGAATAATGTTTGACCAAGTACCTGGGTACAGTGGCTTAGTCAAGTTGACACATAAAATTAAACATCACAATTGGAATATTGTACTTTAGAGTTCCAGTTCCCTAATTTGGAAAGGAAAGCTTCCAGACTTTAACACAGTTACAATGTTATATACAATTTAACACCCTTGTATATAAAACATCTTCATTTAATAGATATATATGTTTCTGGATCTTTATGTACAAAACAGAGTTCCTTCTTTCATGAAGTTAATATGAGGGAAGAGATAAGTAAGTTACAAAAAGTAGGTCTGGTTGTCATAGGTGCTGTTCAGAAAAATGAGGCCAGATAAGGAGAGAACAACAGAAGAAGGCAGGATGCCATTGGATATAAGGTATTTAGGGCAGGCATCTCTACTCTTTCTGTGTAGGGACTAAATTTGAAAACCATGCATCTGTATGGTAGGTGGGAAAGGGGAAGAAAAGCTGCATAGACCTGAGGTGGGGACATGCCTGGCTGATTTGAGAAGGAGAGAGTGGCCTGCAGTCCTGTGGGTGGAAGGAGTGGTGTGGTGGAGGAGTTTCAGGGAGTGAGTTGATAGGAGGTTGTGGTCAGAAAGTAGGATGTTAGTGTAATTACTAAGAAGAACAGAGTCTGGGGATGGGTAGGTAAGGTAGGGTCAAGAGGAAAATCTGCATCTAATCTCTCTCTCTCTCTGTTTCTACTTTCCCGTGCTGTGACTGTACATTTTAGAACTATTTGTACTTGTTTGCACATGTATATGAGAATTCAGTTTTGTCTTCAGAATCCCCAGTTTTTGACAAATTGGAAGAGCAAACTAACAAGTAGTTACTGTTCATATTTATGTTGTCTCTGGGATTCCTGATTCCATATAAGGTCTGCCATCTACTTGCAACAGAAATACTGTTTGTAGCCCCATGCCCACAACATTCAAAAACTAATGTAAACAGCTTTTTACTTTACATATTTAGGACCTTTCCTTTTTATTTGCTTAAAATATGTGGGTATTGGATTCCATTTTTTTTTTTATTGTACCATGATGTAATACCTCCTATAAGAGTATTCTTTGAATATTTTAGTGTTATAGAATGCATCTGTGGTTTCTGGAGGTTTGGAGGGCTTAGTAAATTTACTCCTAGGAAAAGTTGTATTTATGTAAATGCGAAATTTGTAGAGTGTAGCTGAGGATTGCTGATTCTACCATCTGCTGTCATCAGAAGGTATTTTGTGATTGCTCCCAAAAGTCGAGGCCAAATTTCTGAATACTTTACTTTTACCAAATGTATTTGCTGAATAATGGGTTTGGTTCTTCTTGGAACTTGCAAGTTACCTCATGGAATGGAAAAAGAAGGTTTCACCAACAATTGGAACATACACTCTACTCTGTTAACTATATTCAGCCAAACCATCTTCAGATGTTTGTACATGATGTGCTAATCATGTGCCCATTCTGTTATGGAGTGGTTTTGGTTAGTAATATTAGCCTGTCCTTTGCCTGAGCAAGGCAGATATTTTACTTTGCATTGAAGGCCTAAATTATTGGGTTAAAAAAATGTTAATCTGATATATATGATTGCTAGTTGTTTCTTTTAGATAGCTAGATCCTTATATTTTGTTAGTTTTTAAGTCTTATTAGCATTTTTTTAAATTTTAGTACTTGTTTTAATTACATAAGGATTATTTTATTAAAGTTTTCATTTATTAGTATTTTATTTCAGTTTTGATTGCATATTGGCTTTTATGAAGTCTTCTAAAGCATTTAAAAGATTTGAATATAGATTTCAGGAAACTTTCATGTAAAAAATCTATTGATACCGTGTTATAAAAAGTTTTTAAAAATCCATTAAATTAGTCAAGAATCTTTGTAATGGCCTATCTAAAATGTTTGTATCTTCTTGGTATTCTGTATTCAGTTATTACAGAATAATACTTGCCATTTTTATTAAGGAAATTCTGCACTTCTTTCCTTACCTCACTATTTGTTACCCTTTATTTGATGGTTTCTAATGGTCCGTTGTTTTGTTTAGAAAACAGCAAAGCTCGAAGTAATGATTTTGCTGAAAAAAATGGACTTCAGAAATATGAATATGTCTTACATCCCAGAACTACCGGCTTTACTTTTGTGGTAGAGCGTCTAAGAGAAGGTAAGCACTCATCTCTTTTTTTTTTTTTTTTCAATAAAGTGGCAAAATTGCTAAACTTTGTATGCTTTATATATAGGTCTTTACATTGTATAATGTTGACATCTGTGACACATAGTCAGCTTCACCTGGTAATTGCTACACTGCCTGTGCCTAATATGGAAAGTCTTTAATTATTATATAAGTAAAATTACGAAGTTCTTACTTCTTTCCCTTTGTTCCTTTAGTGTCTAATGTGCTTTAAGATACAAACTATAACCTGTTCAGTTGAAGCTTTTCAACAACTAAGCACTCATGATTTTAAAGAAATTTACACATACTGCCAGTCCAAAATCACATGGAAATGGTACATCAAGAGTGTTGTCCCTGTTAATTTGGCTTGTTTTTAAATTGTGTGTTTACACACATGTGGCATGGACATGTGAGCTTGGTATCACATTATCTGTGAATAGTGAGCCCATCAACCCATTGAAGGTCATGAAGGATATAATTCATCATCCCTGTGGAATAGGCAAAATGGTACCCAGACCCTACTCTGGTGATACTTCTTTCCTTCCTTTCTCTCTCTCTTTTCCCTCTTTTCCTGTGTGGTATCATTTACTGTAGAGTCTAATTTGGACTCATTCTTTTTGGTCACCAGTATGTTTTTTTTTTTTTTTAAAAAAAAGGTAATTCTGACATCATGTAACACATTCATCTACTAGATGGCTCTGTTAACAATGTTTGACTTTGGAACACATCTTTTTGCTAAAAAAGATCTTCCTAAATGTAGGCAGGATACATTAATAATAATGAGAAATTATTTTATAGTGGATAAGAATATATTCATAAAGCCCTTTGTTCTGAAACCTTGGAAATGTTTTAAAAGCAAACTGATTCATAACTTTGCTACACACTTAGGAAATGTGTATTGCTTAGTCATTACTCAAAGCACTAACTAATAACCACAATTAGTAATTTTTCCTGTCAGAACTAGTTCTAATCCTCACCCTTACCCACCCAGCATATATTAGGAGAGAGAGAGAGAGAGAGAGAGAGAGATACAGATGATCCCTTTTGCTTCAGCTAGAAAACAAGATGGCAATTTAGATGACTCCATTTATTTCAGCTAGAAATGCAAAAATAAATATTGATTATTGTTAAAATAGTAATTGTAGCTAACATTATTTTAGCATTTAATAAATACCAGGCATTATGGTAGGTGTTTTTTACATCTAAATTCAATTAATTCTCATAACAACCCTACATTATAGTTGTCACTTGTAATACAAAACCAAAGCAGAAATTGAGGTGAAGAATCTCATCAAAGTTATTAGAATATAGGTCCTAACTGAGTAACACTTATACTTTCTATTATAACTTATTGGTTCTTGTATTTATAGTGTTTTTAGTTAATCAGATCTCCAAATCATAAAGCACCTTTTTAACAATAGTGAGCTAGATGATTTTCTTCAAGAAACAATTAAAAGAAAGAAAAAAAAATAGGCCAGATCATGAAGGGATGGTGGTCGTAAGGTAGGTGGTTATGATGTTGTCTGAAATGGAGGAGGAGCAGGTACATACTAAGGAGGCATGATTTAGGACATTGTGGATAGCTCTGATGTCTAGAGGTGTGGTAGGGGTTTCAGGTGAACAGAGACAATAAGTTTCATCAAGGATCAGAGGTGAAGAGGATTTTAGATCTCATCTACTCTAGAGTACTAGAAAGGAAATCTTTTAGAAAAGAAATCTAAGAACCAGAAGGCAAGTGCAGCATAGTTTTTAGGTCTTTAGGCTTGTGAGATCTGTTTTTAACTACAAACTACATGAAAAAGAAGCTTTCTTTAAAACCATTATAATCACTCTTCCAGTGATATCCTGGAGACTACATAGTAAATTACCATAAAGTAACATCTTTACTGTTCACACTTGTAACTGAACTCAGGGCTGCTGCCATCTATTGAGCAGTTGTTAGCATAGATGGCTAAATGAGAAGTTCAGAACATTAAGAAGTTAAGTATAGCAGAAAATATTGAATAAGAGGTAATGTGAAACAAGAAAAGTTAGTTTCTGTAGAGAAACTAACCAAGATAGAGAATACTTGGAAAGCATACTTATCTTAAATATAGCACCAGTTAGGTAAAATCACACAAATATGTTGTTTCGATAATAATAATTGCAGCAAGTTTACCTTTTGTACCTTTATTGCCACCATTTGTGTACTTGCTTTATAGTCCCTTATGTGTAGGACCTTCTGTGGAAGGTCCTACACATAAGGGACTCAGTCAATATTATTTGTATGTAATAATTTAAAAATTTTATCTGAAAAGTAAGACAATATAATATCCTAGCATGCTCTTTGCAGAGCATTTTGTATATACTGATAGGCATCTGTTATGGGTGATTTATTTCACGTGTACCTAATCACAGAGTCTTTCAGTATATGATTGTGTAATTTTTTTCTCACTGCTGGAATAAACCAAACTCAAAAGTAAGATGCTGACTTAGAGGAAAGGGTTCATCTGAAGAAGATTTTTTTTTTTTCTGCCTGTATAACAAATTTATAATGTAGTTGTCATAACACCAAAAATTATTTACATTTGTCATCATCTCTGATGCTTTATCATGTTTAACAATAATAGCTTAAATGTTTTATTTCAAATAAGTAATCATTTGGCCCACTCATTATTTGATTTTGTTGTACATTTTGTAAGCCAATTACTGAGTTGTAATCATGCAATAATTACTTTCACCATTGGGCGGCACAAGTGTGTGCATTTGAAACAACTTGAAATTAGGCTAGAGTAGCTATGAAATGGGGATAAAACACTTGCCATTTGTTTCATAGTATGTCTTATTTGAGATAACTTTGTCTTTAAGATATTACAGCATTCATGGGTAGAAAAGAATTATATTATTTTTAGATGCTCCCATGTATATCACATGGTTTAGTTAAATGCTATATTTTGTGTATAGTACATAGATATTATGCCAAATAATTATAAGAGTATTTACTAAAGAGAGATTGTGTACTACTGAAATGTTCAGGTAAGGCTTCTGAAAGATGCTGAATTTCCCTTGGACATTAGAGAGTACATGTGATTTGGACAGGCCGAGAAAACAAGGATGGCTAAGAAAGAGTACAAGAAAGGGCACAGAGTCAGGACCTGTATGGACCTGAGCAGTCACCTAGGAAGAAAATCAACCCAGTAGAGCTAAAGACCACTTGTAAAGCAAGAGACAATATTTAAGAAGGTTGTTTGGAGTCATTAATATAAAAAAATTTAATACCCCAAACAGTCACAATTTTAGTTTGTGTGTTTCCAGATGAAGTCATTTTGTTCTACACTTGTTCTCATTTGCACTGAGAAAACTGGAAGCAAAAGCAGTAGACCAGTCATAGATAGCCAGTGTTCATCAGCATTGTCATATCATTTTAACTTCTTGGACTTTTTGCTTAGTTCACAGCTATCTGCTGACAATCCAGTCTGTTTGTTGTCTGTAGTGACTTTGTCTAGGAGGCCAGCAGAGGCCATCACTGTGTGGCTCACATTCCATTTGTTTCAATCTGTGAGCCTGTCTCAGGACTGCAAGTCAGTTACCCTTCCTAATAGCCAGCCTGTGGTAGAGGGCAAGGAAGAAAGGCAGACTGACAAACTACTAAAATATGGGGTGCCTTGTATACCATGTACTCTGACCTTTTCATGTGGCTTTTTATTGCTGGAAACCATTTATGAAATACAAGAAGAACTTTCCCTTATATTTAAAAAAAAAAATGTTATTGTACAATAGACCTTTGACATTTGCTAGAATATTTTTCTGAGACCTTTTCCAGTTCCTGAAATTTGCAAATATCTTTGTAGATTAGCAGTTGACTTTCTTTTGAGGTCATTGTACAAGGAACAAAACTTCTGTCTATTGATGGTGATAAATAAAGTACAACAAAATACTGACTAGTGGGTAAGTACATAGGTCACCCAAGTGACTTGGAGATACATACATGAAGCAGAAATTATTCAAATTTGCCTCAGCAGAATTATATACCATATGTTAGAAATCTTTGGGGTCTCTCCATGTCATGTCTTCAGGTGCCATAATTTATGAGTGGCAATTCTTTTGTTTTCTCTTTTCATTTTATCCTCCCCCACCTCTAGTAGCAAAAAATCTGAGCTGTTCATTTAGGACAGATCTTGTCATTGTGTTTAATGAAAAGAAGCATGACCACCTTTAAAAAAAAAAACAAAAAAACACACCATCTAACCTTTATCAAGTACCTACCATGTGCTAAGGATTGAATCGTACCCATGTTTTTTTACCTTGCCCATGCAGTAGAATCAACCATGGAGGCTTGCAAAAATATCCAGGCTCAGACCTGCTGAATCACCCTGAGTGTTGCATCCTAAGCTCATAACTACTCTCTGCTCACCAGCCACTCTCATCCATATCACTTAATTCTCCCAACCAAGCCAGGCAGTAGCTTGCCCTATGCTACACCTGATCAAACTAGCTCCCTTTAGCAGCTTGCCCTGGGCCTTACAGCTACTGAATAAGGGTACCATAAATTAAAGTCAGGTCTGTTTGATGCTAAGGCCCATATTCTTTGCACTATAATTAATAAGTTTATAGTTTTTCTGTTCCAAATATTACAAAAACATCTCCTTTGTAGGTTTTTCCCTCCTTTTCCAAAATTTCTCTGTGATCTCCTTGGCTGTATGTGAGTTTTGTTTAAGTGGAAAAATACATAAAGGATTTCCTTTATTGTACCTTTTAGTTTTTCTGATTCCTACATTTACCAATTACTTATCCATTTCCCTCATCCTTAGAGAACACTTGGAAAACACACTTATCTTCAAATATAATACCAATTATGCAAATAGGTTGTTTCTATAATAGCAATTGTGGAATGTTTAAGTACTCTGACTTTTCTTGTTCTTGACTTGCTTTATATTTCTACTAGAGTATAAACAACAACAAAAATGACAACATTGTATTTCAAGTTGTGGTTTCCCTTTTTTTTTCTTTTA